GGGGAGGGGGAGGCGGGGAGGTTGGCGGCGGGGGGCGGACAGCGGACCCCGCCTCCTCCAGCACAGCCCGCTGAAGGGAAGAGGGAGTCTCGGTTCTCCCTCGGGGCGCCTGACCGAAGCCCAGCGCGTGGGTATGGAGCGTGAGTGCGAGGTGACCGGACTAGTGTGGAGATGGATATAAGGATCGGGGTGGAGAGAGTGTTCTGACTTCTCCAGGTTCCGCGGGGATGTAGGACTCTGGCGGCCCACCAGCATCCACACAAAGACTACACTTCCCAGGGTGCTTAGCAGCAGCGAGAGCCCCATGCGCATGCGCGCCCGTAGTCAACCTGGCTGTGATGGGAGAGCTGAAATACTGCGGAGCGGAGGACGGGGCGGGGCGAAAGGGGTGGGGAAGGTTGGTCTCCGACAGCCGATGTGTACTGTGTGCGCCGTGACGCTCCCGCGTGCACTCCATAGAGTGGGATTAAACTCTTTTGAATTGGTGTCTAGCCTCGATGCCTGGGTTCCAGGCCCTTCTGTCGTGGCTTTCCACACGTCATCCAGCTGAAGAAGATCCGTTCAACTGTCTCTTCTCAGGGTAATGTGTCCTCTCCACTCCTGCTTCCGCCAGCCCTGGACTATCACTCTAGCCTTTTCGAACCCTGGAGGGTCCAGTTTCATAGAGCAGGCCTCTGGGGGTGGGGTGGTGTGCGGTGGGTGGGATAGGGTGTGTGTGTGTGTGTGTTTCCTTATAAATGGACATCCTCCTTTCCACCTCCCGACCACCCAGGAAAAGAAACCCTGACCGCTTGCAGAACTTCTCAGCTATCAGAAAGTGTGCTTCCCTGCCCCTCCTTCCCCAGCCTTTTGTGAGCCCTTGGGATTCTGTCCTTTCTATACGGTCTTTACTGCTGCAGAAGGTTAGCCGCTCCATGTTTACACAACAAAGTCGAGGGAAATAACCTAATCTGTGTAATTTAGCAAATTATGTTGGATTTCTGGAGTTCAAATCATTCAGTCCTTAATTTTTTTTTTCTTTCTGGCTGAATCCGAGTCGTTTTCTGGATAGCTTTGAGTATGTAAAAATGCTACTCCCTAGGAAAGAGGGTGATAAAATACTTAGGATGCAAATTTAGCAGTCTTTAAGTCAGAGTGCTTCCGTATGTTAATTTTTAGGGAGTTGAAGGTCGGCTTGGGTAGAGCGGGTCAGATTTTATGTCTTTGAATAGAATTGTCTAGGCTGTTTATATAAATTTGGAAGTCATCTGTGTACTACAAATAATTTCAAAGCTATCAGACTAGATGTGATCATCAAGGGAGTGATTGTAGATGGAAAAGAGAATGAAAAAGGTTGTTACTGGAATCTGGAATGCTGTGATGTTTAGAGATTGGTGAGGTAAGGAAGGACCATCAAATGGTACTGAGAAAGAAGTCTTACTGATGTAGATGGAGAATCAAGAATTGTCACAGAAGCCTAATAAAGCAAAAGTCCCCAACGCCTGGGCTGCACCCCATTAGGGACTGGGCTGTACAACAGCAGGTGAGCTTCAGGGGAGGGAGCGAAGCTTCATCTGTATTTGCAGTCACTCCCCAGGGCTGACATCACCGCCTCATCTCCACCTCAGATCATCAGGCATTAGATTCTGGCATTAGGAGCACCAGTCCCTGGTACCAGAAAGTTTGGGGACCGCTGTAAAGTGTTTCGAAGTAGGTATGACTAATTGTGTCATATACTGCTGGCACATTGAGCCAAATAGGATTGAGAATTGACTATAGGATTTGGCAACATGAAAGTCATTGCTAACCTTGATATGAGCCCTTTTGGTGGGGTGTGGAATGAGTGCAGTGGTTTAAGAGACAATGGAAGAAGCGGAAGTGAAAAATGCTAGTGTAGCTGACTCTAGTATAGCTCATGGGAAATATATATACCTATATATGCATATTTATATCTGTATTTATTCAGCCTCTGTAATAATGTGGGCCAATTCCCAATTCCATATATATATATTTCCATATATGTATTTCCATATATATATTCATATTCCTCAGTTGGCAAGCTGAAGACCTAGGAGAGCTGATGGTGTAGTTCCAGTCCAAGTCTGAAGGCCTGAGATCCAGCAGAACTGATGGTGTATGTTTCAGTATAGGTTTGAGTCCAAAGGCAGGAAAAGACTAATGTCCTAGCTTGAAGACTGTCAGGCAGAGTGAATTCTCCCTTCCATACAAATCTTTTGTTTTATTTACATCTTGAACAGATTGGGTGGGGCTCACCCACATTGGGGAGGGTAGTTTGCTTTACTCAGTTTACTGACTGAAATGTTAATGATATCCAGAAACACTCTCACAGACATACCCAGAATAATGTCTAACTAAATATCGGAGTGTTCTGTGGCCTAATCAAGTTGATATTATAAATTAACCATTACAGTAGAGTATGTGGGCATAGATGTAATTATGTAAATAAATTTCAAGGTAGGAGCTTGCGTAAAGTCTTTTTTGTTTGTTTAGTGAAATCTGAGGCAAGGTCATAAGCTGAGAGTGTGGATGGGGGAGGAGATAGAATAGGTTTAAGGAGAGAAGAGAAGGTATGCAATAGAAGAAGAGGATAGTAAACAATTAGTGAAAAGTTGTAGAATTGCTAGGAGAAATAAGGACCCATTTGAGGTTGGTGGTAACAAATTTAAGGTGAGACCACTCAACATGATTGTGTTTTTCACCTGCTACATTGATTCAGCTGCATAGCTACAGGCATGAGTTGGCAGAGAATTTGTTTTTATTCAGGGTTAGAGTTTTGCCAAGAGAGAATACGAAACCATTGATGGGCAATGGAGTCAAGGGAGTATGCAAGGAAGTGGTTATAATTTAGTAGTTTAAATAGCTCAAGGAGGAAGTAAGAACTTCCTGGGGGTGAGGTGAGTGAAAACACCCTCACAGAATAATGTTTAATTAAATATCTGAGCACTTGTGGCCCAGTCAAGTTGCTGCTATAAATTAACCATCACAGTAGAGTATATGGGCACAGATGTAATTATGTAAATAAATTTGGATTATAGGTCCCAGCTAGATCAAAAGATTGTTTGAGTTGAGTTTCTACCGGGAATGGACTTGAAAAATAGAAAATGTTGATTGGAAAATGAGACGTTTAGAATTGAGATTATGGAAAGATTTAGTCACTGGTAATGACATGGTGTCCTCATGTGAACACATGGATAGAGCAAGGTGTAGGTAAGATTATTGGAGGATACCTAGTCAGAAAACTGAGAGACACTGTCTTCCTCAGATATTGTGCATTGAAGGTTGTGACCCACTGGACAAATAGAGGGGAAAAAAGGTAGGATAGAGATATAAATAGCTACTGTACTGATGGTGATGAAAATGGTCCATTAACACCCAATTCAAATACTGTCAATTTGATCTATATATCTAACACTGGAAAGTTAGGTATTGAGTTATATACGGTTACATGGAAACTCATAGTCAACCTATAAGCCTTTCATGGATTTCTGTTCTTTGACCAAAGTGTTCTTTTAAGAGTGGCAGGTGACGTGAGGCATCTTTTCTTAGTTGTCAAGTTTGAAATTCGTCAGCAAATGCTTATTATAATGCAGCTTCTGTAGAGGTTTATCTTGTCTGTCTTATTTATTTATTTGTTTGTTTATTTGTTTATTATGATGACATTGGTTAATGAAATCCGATAAGTTTCAGTTGTACATTTTAACAGTAAGGCATATATGTATTTACATTGTGTGTTCACCTCCCATAGATAGATTTCTTTCTGTCACCACATATTTGACCCCTTTTACCTGTCTATCTCCCCACCTCTCCCCCCACCCTCTGGTAACCACTTGTCTATTTTCCATGTCCATGAATCTCTGTTTGTCCTGTTCATTTGTTGCTTTTAGGTTTATATCCCACGTATAAGTGATATGTGATTTTCAACTTTTTCTGTCTGGCTTATTTATCTTAGCACGATTATCTCAAGATCCATCCATATTGTCGCAAAGGACAGTATTTCATCTCTTCTTATGACTGAGTAATATTCCATTTTATGTGTGTGTGTCTGTGTGTGTGTGTTTTCTTTATCCATTCATCTATCGATGGACATCTAGGTTGCTTCCATATCTTGGTAACTGTAAATAATGCTGCAATGATCATAGAGATATATCTTTTTGAATTAGTTTTTTTCCCCCTTTGGATAGATACCCCGCAGGA